TCTTTCCTTGTTAAAGTAGTTTTGAGGATCACAAGGAATGCGCTCATCGCGTGGTTGATGCGGATGGGAATTCATTCTTTAACCTGACCGGCTAGTAGAATCGTTCAACCGTAGATACTTAACACTACAAAAGCAAAAATATTCATACCCCAGAAAACGGCCATTTTGACCACCTTTTGAAAAATCGATCGCATTTATCGACAACGATGTTTCATGCCCTCAGTATGATCTCTATTCAACGGGGTTCGAACCAATGCCTCAATAAGGACTGCCGATTCTTTATCGAGTCTATCCCTCAGATGCATAGCACAGGGGAGGGGACACTACTGTCTCTCACTCGAGTTTAATGTGGATAAGGATGATTCTTTCTTTATAAGACGTTAGTTTCAAGATGTTTATGGGCATTTTATCATTCACCATGGCCAACCACGGGGATCCTTTAACGACTGAATCCAAGGAGCAACGGAAGTCTATAAAAAGGGCGGGAACCCACAGCGGTATTGCAAAACTCATCATAGTGTCAATATGTGGTCGAGACACACTCTTCAGCTACAAAACCCTACTTGATTCAGTCGAGAGCAACAGTCCCTTTTGCAGTGATACGTTCGGGAAGGATTAGAGAGCAAACTTTGGCTGCTACATAGTAACAATAATAATAAGGCTGATACTCCTGAAGTAGGTGTAACCTATTTTGTAACATTTGCTGAAAATGACTGAAGTGCCCCAATCGGTGGGAAACACTTCGTTGTCCTATATGAATCGCTAGGGTGCGTGAAGATAATGGAAAAATAACGAGCAAAACTTTGTAGATGTCCACTGTAATTCCGTCTTCCTTAGAGGCTTCCGTGTTCTTCAGTTTGGCAACTGCTGCTGCAGTGCTCAATCTGATACGTGCCCCCACAATCTGCCTCGTTCAGAGGCGATTTCCGATTTCAGTGTCTGTGCACGATGAAGNGAAGGTCAGTTCAATAACACGTCAAAATGCCTGGTCTATAGTTGAACCTTGCTTTCCCGGTTGACAATAAGTTTCCCGCTTGCGTCGCGTAGCGAAACTGGTGCCGTTTGTTGTCTACCAGATTAAACGTGGATTAGACGAAAAATATTTTCTGCAATCAGCAACGTTGGATGCGGTCTCCATTTTCTCTGCAATTTCGGACCACTAGATTTTTGCGGTCGCTTCTGGCCAATTGGTTCAGGTTCATGTAAAGAATTTTTCAAATCACGTAGTTTGTTTTAAAGGGGGAAATTTTTATAAACCTTACGCGTGAGCGGAACACACTAGAACATCCATTACCTCAGAATCACAAGTTGGTTCAGTCGCCGATAAGGTCGGCGACTGAAGACCTAGGTGATTCACATCTGACGTGGCTGTTCTGATGCGGGTCTTAAGCTGGCCTTCGGCGAAACATTTTCAATACAGATAAGGTGTCCGTCATAGGCATTATCGTGTTAACTCTGCTTTCGGTAGATGATGGACCTTGCTGAAGAAGAAACAAGGATGGTATTTCCATACTCTGACAATAATGACGAACAGCGAAGTGTGAAACGCGATCATACCACTCAATTTCAGTCATATGTCGAAGACACTGGAGGCCAGAGCTTTCAATGTGTTCGTAGCTTCTGCTTTCAGAAGCCATGTTTCTCAAACTTATCCAAAGGTAAAGTACTCGAAGGTTTGATAACTGTGCAATTTTATGTGCAAACCTATTTCGCTGTGAAACTAGAAGGGTTTCACGAAATTGAAAGAACGCTCTACTTGCGTAGTGGACGCGAAGTATGACTTCGTCTGATGCTTGACCGTTTAACCAAATAGTAGATCCTAGGTACTTGAAGTGCCTCCAACCTGTTCCCGTGCTTCACAATTGGCGTGCATGGCTGGGCATGTTTTGTAAAACTTTGTTTTTAGGCGTGTATCTCGAAACCAACGGACTTCGTTTCAGATTCCATGCAGTCAATTGCTGGTTGTAGACTGTCAGGATGCTGTTCCCAAATAGCAATATCGAGGGAAAATCTTAGGTCATTGACCGAAGCCCTGTAATTGATGTGGATTCCTTAGAGTACTAGAATGTGACGCATTACCAAGTAAATAATACACGTGAAAAAGATTGGTGACCAGGGATAACTTTGACAGAACCATGTCCACGTTGGTATAATCCCACTCCCTAATCAACGATGTCTCTAATCTGTGCTTTGTGGCGTAAATTCTGGAGTGTTGGTACACTTTTCGGGTAAGATTAGCCTAATATTTTCTGTTGGGTTCAAATAAAGGCTGCATACAGGCCACACTATTTTTTGGATGCTGCGAAATAATAACCAGTATTTTGTTAGACACGACTTATGACTTGCGGTATCATTCTGTGGGATAATGGTTTCACCATTTCCATTCGATGCCACCGTTGGTATAAGATGTCGCTCCGATGTACGATTATATGAATCGGAATATTGCATCCTACGTAGTTCAGCAAATTCCGTTGATTAATAATGCATCGACAAGTTTTGATCGTCAATCCACTCATTGAAGTTCCGTTTGTTCTTCCAAATTCCATGAGTTTCAATACACAATAAAAGTTTTTCTGTTGTGAAAGCGCCTCATTTTCTTTTAATTCATCCAAAAGATCTTTCTGAGTGTTCTTTGTATCGTTCGCACTGAAACGTCCTCTGATGCACGAATCACACAGGCTGAGTTCACACATTACAATCTACGTTTATCTCTCTTGAGAGCTTTCTCTGGTGACTATTCCGTTTATGGCTGGTTTTGAGCTGTTTCCGCCACTAATATATCATGAACCAATTGATTTAGACGTATTACACCGTTTGGATATCTCATGTGCACTAACATTGAACTCGCGAAAGACATCATTTTGGGATTTCTCGTTTTCAGTAAACCTCTTCCAGCGCGCCATGGTTACCAATATGTTGTAGTAACCAACTTGGATGTCATCATTCCTTCAAGGTCATTGCGAGTGAGCACACGGCCGCTGTCACCGGGGTGTAATATGACCGTAGCTTAAACCAATCTGTCGAGCACTGACTCACTATGGTTGCCAGTTTTCATGCTGCAGTACAAACTCGGGATTTCTAGCGTATCGATCTTCAAACCGAGCTGTGAATGAATTTCAAGGGGGCGGGGGTGCAATACTTTTGTCCTAGTGAAAATACTATTTTTTCGATGTATTTTAGTCAAAATAACAGATAACTTGATGACATTTCGTAATTCGTTTTTTAATTCGGTTGACGTTTATATTCTCAAAAATGGTGATCATCGTGCGTGTGGGAGTAGATCTAATTCAAAAGTGCAGGGGTGGGGGTGCAATACTCTTTATATCGAGCTTTTGTTTTACCATTCCTTTCGGAGAATTGCCACGGACCTGAATCTTGGTTAATGCAACTGTGGATCTTACTATGCTGAGCAGATTCGGATGATCCGAAATTTGCAAATAAAATCAGATATGAGCTGCGGGCCACTATGGGAACTCTATGTTCAAGTACGGAACTTTCCTATTTCCGCACGAGAAAGAAAAAACCGGTAACGGTTAGAAACTGACGCATACAACAACAAAAAACAATCGACAATCTGTTCAACATGCCTTGGAAAAAGGAACCATTCTCAAACGATCGGATATTCGGCGTTAAGGCCAGCCAAACGACTGTATCCGCACCCTGCTCGGCTGAACGAAGTTTGCCTTGCATTCGATGATGAAAACTGGGCATCGATAAGGCAACCGCCTGGAAAAATCATATATGTGGGGAGTAGAGGGATAAAAGAAAATTGACCTGTGTAAATATATCCAAAGAATGAGGTTTTTTATTTGTGGAAGAAGCGACAATGCAAATTCACCAAACCGGGTGCTGGATACAGATACAGATCAGGTGAGAATGAATTTTCGGAATTAGTGAACGAGAAATGCGATAACGCTGTCTTCTCTTCCGACGACACAGCTAGTTGTTTGTGATTCAAATGCTTTGTCCGTTCGTCAGTCATACTCCAGTAGAACACTGGCAAAACAACCACGAAAGTCGTTAACTACTTTACTAGATGCGACCCATAAGGTTGTGCTGATTAGCCGTAGTTTTACTGTTAGAAGGAACCGTATCATAGCACCTAATCGATAACAAATAACTGTAAAGATTGAATCTTGGCCGCCTTTCTGCTGTTTCCTTGCACAAACTGGATCTCGTTCGTCGTTCGGTACGGACGAAACCAAAGCTGCCTGGATTACACGGTGCTAACACGCAGTGATCCGTATCCCGCTGCAGTATCGAATTCGGTAGTGAATCAAGTTTAGACGGGCCATGATGCAAAAAACCAAGATTTTTTTAATATGTCAATCAATTACCAATTGCATCATATTCTGTGTGCCATTTCTGCTTCTAAACCACAAAATGGATCGAAATAGATATAAACAGAGATGGAACCGTAGGAGTTTTGTAGAGATGCTAGGAACAACACATATCCCCGTAGCTGGCATTCGAAAAATATTTCGAAGTAATAAACAAGGGGTATGGTGACCATGATCTCCCTGAACAAAAACACTCCTACTGAAGCAAGTTACACACCAACAGATGTATGTAAACAATCGAACTGTACGCCCCGTTTGTTGACCACACCATTACGTACCATTCGCTCACTTCAGCTTCATACTCTCCACACTATCACACACGTAAAACGGTCATCTAAGTTCGTCAATGCTCAAGAGAATGTTTGTGAGCGTAACAACTGAGACATGAAAGTGCAAATTTGACAATAATATCACATCGAACTCACCGGTGTATCCGCCCAACCGGGATGCATGGAGGCAAATACAATTTCTGGATAAGCCTGAGCCCATAATTCACAAAGAACAACTTGTTGTCGCTTATTCTGCGCGTATACCATGGTCCCATCGAAGCGAGCACGTTGTTTGACAAGCATAGGGTCTGAGCTGTCCAATTTCTGTACAAGCATCCCTCCCGAGCTAACCACAATAACACGGGGCTATATGGGTGATAGTTGAATAATCAAATACACACACGAAATGAGTAACGTAGTTCAATAAACGACGGGAAATAACCGATAACAACAACTGCGAAACATTTAATGCGATTTGTGAGCATACTACCTAGTGATCAAATCCCACAGATAAGTCTGACCTCGTCTACGAATCACCGCCTCCCACGTGATCTATATGAACGGGAATATGGTCTTTCTTCTGAACGGTGGGAGAACCGTTGAAGCTAGATACGTACCGGCCGTGGTGTGTTCGATTGTTTCGCCGTTGATTGACAATGTTTGCGTATAACCGAGTGAGGTGGCTTTAAACCCCCTTCTGGTATATATAACCATGCAGGCTAGCAATTATGTGATCAAGAAACAAGTTTTGGGTGTCACAAAGCAATAAAAGGAAAGTACATCATGTTCACAATGTAGGTCGAAAATTGAAAACAGTGGGATTACCTAGTCAAGCTGTTTGATCGTTGTTTTCGTATTCTGTTTACCATAAGTATCAAAATTCACATGCCCTTTCAACCTCTTCAGCAGAATGAATACAGTCAATCTCCGGCTATGTCGCACCTCTCGGGAATTCGAAAAAGTGGATAAATTTCAGGAACTGCGACATATCACGGTAAACAGTAGTAGGTGCTAATAAGTAGCATAATCATCGGTTGACACTTTTGTGACAAAATAAACCGGATCGATGAAAAGTAGGTTAATCCCGTAAGTTGTCCCCCAATAAGTATGATTATAAACTGTTAATTTATAACGGAATTTAAATCTACCGTCATATGTGTTCTGTATGTATCGCAGAAATTTAAATATTTTATGATGCCCTCAGCCTATTATCGGTACATTGCATCCCGTATTCAGCCTTTTTCAGTTCTGTCTAGTTATGCCGAATCTACCTACCTTTCTTCAGGGGGACTTTTATGAACCAATTATCCCATATTAATTCCACATATTCCTCCATTCCGTTGCAACGTTAGGCTAACCACAGAAGTGATTACACGACTTCCACCATAATATACCTCCGTATCAGCTACGATAATCACATTATTAACCCATTCAACAAAGTCAAAGGTGAACCAGTTCGAATACAGTGAGAAGGAAATAACATCTAAAATGAGTGACATATCTGTTACGGAGTATATTCAGAACATTGACTTCCTTGTATCCAAACTGATTGTTCGTTGTGCAATCTATTAATGATTTTCTATTGAAAAACGTGCATTCTTAACGTCTGTACACATCTATTAGTTCGTTCGCTACTGTTCTTACCAGGGTATATTCAAACCGAATGATGCATTCGTCATGACCGTTGTTGGCTGGACTAAGTGATGCCCTAACGTGATTCATGAGCCATACCTTTTTCAATTTATGACGTCATGTTGCTATGTGTATGTATGTATATATGTATAGTACGATAGTCCGATTATTCCATCGGTTAACATTGTCTTCTACTTTCTGTGATGATCTCGTTGTCACCTTGATGGCACTCCTGTTGCGCAGTCAAAGTTCACTGGGCCTGCCCAAGACTCACGGTTGTAGACAAGGTGTGGTTTCTCGCTGGGAAAGCACCAGGTCCCTTGTTGCGGCTGGACCATTCGACCGATGGATAAATGAACCCGATCGGTCGTGCGATTTTCAGGCCGACACCAGAGAATGACAGGTTCCGAATCTGATGCTGTTTAAGTGTTGGCAGAAAACCACCACAACAGATTCATAAGCTGAAAGTGCATCTCACAAACTCTCCTTACGCCCGGGTTGCAATGACCTTTGGCAGGTGACCTGCCTAATTTTATCGGTGCTCTAGGACAAGTGAGAGTATCGTTTATTCATTCACACAGGCGCGTCCGTGACGGTGTTCATCGATCGCTGGGATGCGACAGCTCACTCCACTCACCCGCTTACGAGTCAATCGCGAATATCGTTCACCCGTTTGCACGTTAGTGCTACAGAGCCCATCGATAGACCGAATGACCGTGGTTTGGTGACCACTGTAGCAAAAATGACCACATTCGAGTGCCTCACATTTCAGTTCAGTGCCCCACAGAATAGCAAAAAAAAGCTTCCCAGATTAGAAAGATGTATTTTTAGCAAAATCATAAATCGTCGGCTTTAATGATACGTTGCTCATTTTCGATCAGAGACATATTTCAGTAAATATTTCTGAAATGAACATTTGAAAGACCAAATCACGCCCTGATCCATTGGTTGTAATATCGAACAACAGTTCGGAGGCAGCCGTACCAATTTGACGTTGGAAAATACTGCGGCTTGGTTATGGTAAGGGGTGTTGTCCATAAACAGTAAAATAGATCGTCTTTGAGAAACCATTTTGCGGCTGACATCGGACAGCCAACTGTGAAATAAAGTAGAAATCATCCATGCGTTCTTTGAAGAATTACAACTGCATGGAAGGCTTTTTCTATCTACACCTCGGAGTGGAGTTTGAAGCTTTCCGATCACAAAGGGTGATAACTTTTCTCCAGTCATGCTCCCACAAAGCAGTAACTCTTCCTTTGGATTTCTTGGACCTAGAAACTGCCTTTCCTTTCAGACTCAGTGCTCTTTCTGGGAGCTGCCTGTAACACAAAGCTGTTTCATCTACATTGAAAATATCAGTCAGCATATCCTTGTATCAACTGCGGTAACCCCGCTCGAAACTCACCCACTGCATCACGTGGTACCGCTAAACTTCCCCACAGACCTATAAAATAATGTACATGAGTTGCTTGTTTCTTACTTTGTACGACTGAATATCATCTCCGTCTGGCCAAGAGCGAAACCAACCTTTGGAAGCCTTGAAGTCTTTATGATGCGATCTTTGTGCTGGACTGCCTTCTTGCGTACGATGCTCTCCACCATTGGGAACTCTCCGGTAAATCAAGCCAAAGTTGCCTCATTCACTGCCTTGAACTTTTCGTTGGTTTTCAGATGGCATCTGCCCTCAGATGCACCAGCGTTCAAAAATTCCCCCATAGTCGTTCGATGGGATACAACATTGTCGACAGCTTTTCGTGAAATTGCAAGTGATTTGGCTACGGAGCTCTGAGTTGCACCTGGCTGTTTCAGCATTTCCAACACATTCCGTTTCTCTCAGATCGATAGGTGCTTGCACATTTTGACGTCAAATGACACTGACTCCGATCGTTTGCATCGGTGTGACTTCCTCGCTAGAATTATCCAATCAGTGAATAGTGCCATGAACGCGTCACACTAAGTGCAACGGCCATTGGTTGAGTGCGACATTATAGGGTGGATGGACCAGTGTCCAAAGCACGCCGGTGGCAGCGATTAAATCATATATATA